GGTTCCTGCTTTTAATCCTAGCTACTCAGGATGCTAAAATCTGAAGATTGCTTTTTTTTTCCCCCGTGAGGGATTGAACTTAGAGCCTAGGTGCTCAAGCATAGCACTCTAACACTTGAGCCACAGTGCCACATCCGGCTTTTTTGAGTAGTTTATTGGAGATAAATGAGGACTTCTCTGCACAAGCTGGCTTGGAACTGAGAGCCTCAGATCTCAGCCTCCTGAGTAGCTAGGATTACAGGTGTGAACCACTGGTGCCCAGTTGAGGGTTACTTTTTGGGGGGGAGGAGGGGGTCCGGTTGTGGGGCCTGAACTATGGGCCTGGGTGCTGTCCCTCAGCTCTTCAGCTCAAGGCTAGCGCTCTACCACTTGAGCACAGCGCCACTTCTGGCTTTTTTCTTTTTGCTGGTATGGTGCTGAGGAATCGAACCCAGGGCCTCAGGCATGCAAGGCAAGCGCTCTACCACTGAGCCACCTTCCCAGCCCGAGGGTTGCTTTTTGAAGCCAGCCCAGGCAGGAAAGTATGAGACTTACCTTTAATTACCAGAAAGAAAGAAGAAAGAAGGAAGGAAGGAAGGAAGGAAGGGAGAGAGGGAGGGAGGGAGGGAGGGAGGGAGGGAGGGAGGAAGGGGAAAGGAAAAGGAAAAGGAAAGGAAAGGAAAGGAAAGGAAAGGAAAGGAAAAAGGAAAGGAAAGGGCGAGCTGGAAATAGAGCTATGGCTCAAATGGTAGAGCATTAACCTTGAGTTCAAAAGCTCAGAGACAGTGCCCATGGCCCTGAGTTCAAGCCCCAGGATCAGTACACACACAAAAAAAGAGATTGGAGGATTTGTCTGACTGGGTTGCCTTCAAACCATGCTTCTAAGATCTTAGCCTCCCGAATATCTAGGATTATAATCATGAGCTACTGGTGCCCAGCTGATGTGTGTGTGTGTGTGTGTGTGTGTGTGTGTGTGTGTGTGTGTGTGTGTGTATGTGTGTATCTGTGGTTTTTTTTTTTTGGTCCCGTTGTGGGGCCTGAACTATGGGCCTGGGCGCTGTCCCTCAGCTCTTCAGCTCAAGGCTAGCGCTCTACCACTTGAGCCACAGCACCACTTCCGGCTTTTTTCTTTTTGCTTATGTGGTGCTGAGGAATAGAACCCAGGGCCTCATGCATGCAAGGCAAGCACTCTACTACTGAGCCACCTTCCCAGCCCCTGTATCTGTGTTTGTATCTGTGTCTGTGTGTGTGTGTGTGTGTGTGTGTGTGTCTGTGTATGTCTGTGTGTCTGTGTCTGTGTGTGTGCAGTCCTGGGGCTTGAACTCGGGGCATGGATACTGTCCCTGAGTTTTTTTGCTCAAGGCTGGTGCTCTACCACTTAAGCCAAGCTCCACTTCGACCTTTTGATGGGTACTTGGTGATAAAAGTCCTACAGACTTTCCTTTCTGAGCTGACTTCAGTCTCCTATATAGCTACCTAGGAATATAAGCATAAGTCACTAGTGCCTGGCTTGAAATTTTTTTAACATGTTAATGATACTGAAAAGCTGTGACACCTAGATAAGGTTCTATATTCCTATGGTCCACACAGAGTGAGAAGTAAAATGGCAACACTTTATTGAAGAAAAAGATAAGCAAGCTGGTTGCCTGTTAATCTTAGCTACTCAGGAGGCTGAGATCTAAGGATCACAGTTCAAAGCCAGCCTGGGCAAGAAAGTCTGTGAGACTCTTATCTCCAATTAACCACCAGAAGATTGAAGTAGAGCTGTGGCTCAAAGCATTAGCCTTGCCAGCACTGTGGCTCTAGTGGTAGAGCCTTGAGCACAGTGAGGCTCAGGTACAGAGCCCAGGCCCTGAGTTCAAGCTTCAGGCCTGGGAAAACAAAACAAAACAAAAAAACCCAACAAAACGTTAGCCTTGAGTGAAAGAGCTCAGGGAGAGTGCCCAGGCTTTGAGTTCAAGCCCTACAACCAGAAAAAAAAAGTAGAGCTCCTGGTAGTCAGGAAGGATCCTAAGGGAGGATATCATTTGCGGTGCAATGTGCAGGGGTTTAAAAAGTGTTTTCAGGCAGGCACCAGTGGCTCAAACCTGTAATCCTAACTACTCAGGAGGCTGAGATCTGAGGATCACAGTTCAAAGCCAGCCTGGGCAGAAAAATCCGAGAGACTTATCTCCAATCAAAGCCAGCCTGGGCATGAAAGTCTGTGAGACTCTTATCTCCAATAAACCACTAGGAAACCAGAAGTGGCACTGAGGCTCAAGTGGTAGAGTGCTAGCCTTGAGCTGAAGAGATGAGGGACAGCACCCAGGTCCAGAGTCAAGCCCCACGACCAACAAAAATAAAGAAGAGAAAAGAAAAAGTATTTTTAGGAGAGAACTATGTAACTCTCAAGATGATTGGATAGTTTGCAGGACATATTTTCTCCAGACCTGATCAAGATTCCATGCAGCCTGCGTGAATTCTCCATGGCTTACTTAGTCCCTCTGATTGGGTGTCCATTCCAGTGCACACCTCTGAGATCTAATCACTTCACATGCAAATCTTACTTAGTCAATGTGCCATAAGGTGATGTTCAGGGATGGCATGCACAATTGCTTAAGATATGATGTCTAGAGGCCTACATGTGTGACTGCTCAAGGCCATGGTGAGGGATACAAAACATCTATGAAAAGGGGGCCTTCACCTAAATTATCTAGCTAGCTGCCTTTCCTGCTCTCATTAAGAGTTACAGTTTTATCTATTTTTGAAAATTCTGCTGTAGTATATATAACAAATAAAATTATACAGAAAATATGGAACACAACACATTTGCCCCTGGGACTTAGGATGCTCTTCTGAAGGCTACATTAATACTATCAGAAATGCCTCTATACAAAGATGTTTACATATTATGTATAGCATGGGGTAAAAACACTGTCAATCTACATGCTGAAGAACCCAAAGATGAGTAAGATACATATTATGAGGAAATTATATGTTGGAATGATATTGTTATTAAAATAATCTTTTGAGGGTTTGATGTATAGCACAGTAGTACTTGCCCAATATATGAGGTCAGGGGCTTTATCTTCTGTGAACGTGTGCACACACAAACACACACACACACACACACACACACACACAGAGTCATCTATTACATCTGTTATACTTAGTTGTATGTATGTTTGGCCATGATATAATTCTCCAATCAACAAAATAATCATAAAAATTCAGTTAATAAAGAGTTGTTAGTAGCCAGGCACCTGTAATCTTATTGACTCAGGAGGCCACAAACAGCAAAATGGTGGTTTGAGACCAACCTAAGTAGAAACATTTTGAGAGACCCTTCTCAACTCATAGCTGGCTGTGGTACCATGCACTGGTCCTTAGGTCTTTGGAAGTGTGCCTTCAAAGTGGACTGTAAAAAACTCTCATGTGCTCTATTTATCCTCCAGTTTGAGATATGGCTGTGAGATGAGATGCTTAAAACCTGCTTTTATTTGCTAAGAAATACTAACTCCTTACTTGAGTCCATGAATTAACTAGGAGTAGGATAAAGGCTAGGCATACCAGATTCCTCCATTTTGTCTCTTCTGTAGTCAAGGCAAGCCACCTCAGAACCTAGGAAAAGCCCGATTACCTGATACAACTTTTGTCTGAACATATCTTTTTTTTTTTTTTTTTTTTGTCAGTCGTGGGGCTTGAACTCAGGGCCTGGGCTCTGTCCCTGAGCTCTTTCACTCTATCATTTTGAGCTATAGAGCCACTTCCAGTTTTCTGGTGGTTAATTGCAGATAAGAGTCTCGTGGACATTTCTGCCCAGACTGGCTTTGAACTGTGATCCTCAGATCTCAGACTCCTGAGTAGCTAGGATTACAGGCAAGAGCCATTAGTGCCTGGCTTTTTTTTTTTTTTTAATCTCAAGGCTGACATTTCACCCCTTGAGCCACACCCCTACTCCTGGTTAATTGAGGATTAATGTGTATTGGACTTTCCTTCCCCAGGCTGGCTTCCAACCTCAGTCTGCAGATCTCTGATCCTGAATAGTTAGGTTTATGTAAGTGTGACTGACCATTTTGGTCAGTGTGAGGATAAAAGGATGATAGGATTTAGGATTTTCAGAGCTCAAACCTGTTAGTTTCTGAATAAAATAGGACACAAAGTGATCTTCCTGGGTACAGGTTTTAGTCAGTCTACACCCTTCAAGGGCCAACCAAATTGGTTGCTCTTCAACTGGTGCTTGTAAACCACTTAAGTCTCAGGATTCCATCTTCTCACTTTCTTCCAAGGGACACAATTACAGCCCCCTCTAAGGTTCAATGTGGCAAACATTTATTCCTTTAAAGTACTCTCATGAATCCATCTCACTGGCCTCCACTGAGCAAGTCTATCTGCCCTCAAAATCCCCACAAATCAGGGGTGGGAAGGTGGCTTAGTGGTAGAGTGCTTGCCTTCCCTGCATGAGGCCCTGGGTTTGATTCCTCAGCACCACATAAGCAGAAAAAGCTGTAAATGGTGCTGTGGCTCAAGTGGTAGAGCATTAGCCTTGAGCTGAAGAGCTGAGGGGCAGTGCCCAGAGCCAGAGTTCGGGGGAAAAAAAAAAATCCCCACAAATGCAGTCATAGGTAGGATCTGAGATTCCAAGTCAAATAGAGATTTGGGGGTGGCAGGTAGATAGTCGCAGAAAGGCGGGGCCTAAGTACTTTATAGGGCCTAGCATAGCATATAATAATAGAGCTGGAACTCAGTAGAGACTCAGTAGAAGAGCAGATTACAGGAGTCCAGCAACACCAGGTCCTCCACGCAGCCACCATTTCCCCCAGTCCGAGTATCTGAGGTTGCAGCCACGCTAGACAACCGAAAGAGAAGCAGAGAGACTGGCCTCTTGAGCACCAGGAGATGCTTAAAGGCAAAGCGGAAAGGGCGGGATCAAGACAGCCCATCCACACAGCTGGAACTCCATTTCCCATAGGATCTTGCGCGCGACTCAATTTCCCACAATCTCTCCATGCTTCCGGCACAGCAGCAGAGCCGCGGACGGCTTCCGGGTTTGGGCCTGGCGCTGCGGTAGAGGCGACCGCGGCGGAGACGAGGAAAGCACGCTGTGAGGAGTGGGACTACCGGCATGGACGTTTCGGGTCAAGAGACCGACTGGCGTAGCGCCGCCTTCCGGCAGAAGCTAGTCAGTCAAATGTGAGCCGGGGCCTCCGGGGGGCTGGGGGAGGGGGCGGGATGGCTGGACCTTCCTCCCGGGGCGGGCGAGGTCCGTGGTGGACCGATGTGTCGGAGCCTGCGGGGTCTCGGGGGCGCCGGTAGCCCCAGGGTGACGGGGACCAGGCTGAGTCTCAGGGTGTGGTCCTCGGCTTTCTACTCCATTCTTTGCGGACTAGGACTGCTTGTTGGCTTTCCTGGGGCCGAACTCTTGCAAACCAACGAGCTCTGGCTTATGAGTCATCGTCCTGAGCGTTCTCATTCGTCGTTTGTGTGCTTTGGGTGCAGACTTTCTCCTGCTTTGATTTACACTGAATACGGAAAGGGAACGAAGCGGTCCTTAGTGGGTTTACCAGTCTACGTGATTCGTGGTTTCTTCTTCAAAAAAAAAAAGCGCATCAGGATGAGAGGAAAAAATTGGTGGAGGGCATATTGAAGATGCGGTTGGGAGGGTAGAGATTTGGGCATTTGGGAAGGAGACTCATCGGACCCATCAAAGGAATATGAACTTTGCCAAAGGCGTACAGACAGGAAGCTGCTGTCAGCAAGCGATCATGGGTTCTGGAGGAGGGAGTGAAGAGCTGGGCTTAGTGCTCCAGTTCCAACAGAACTCCAGCCTCTCACTGCCAACTGCTTGTTTCACTTAGCAGTTTTTACTGAGCTTTCTGCTGTGTTGTGCCCATCTGAAAATTGCCCAAGACACAGCGCCTTCCACAGTGAATAAATGAACAGACAAAATACAGCCTTGCCAGTGCTTTTGTTATGAGGATGCTAAAGGGGTAAGTTAGCTTTAGAAAGCTGGGAGCAGCCTGTGGGGGAGGGAGGGGGGAAGTACGTTAGGAAAAATTGAGTCCTAAAAGGACTGGTGGGAATGTGAAGGGCAAAAATCCTAGCCGCGAATTGGAGACATGTGACCACTTACTGCACAAAGGACCTTGTTGTAGTCTGAGTTCTGGGGTCGGGGAATAAGAAGTTTGAGAGCTAATGAAATGAGGATGAGCAGGTGCTGGTAAGAAGTGATAGGGCTGTTATGTTAATTTGAACCTATATTTGGTGGTATGTGATCTGTTTTGAGGTGGCAAAATGCCAGTGTTGGGAAGATTTCCCCAGTCCCCTTAGGTGAGTAAGAACAGAAGAGATGACAGTTATTTGGAGTTTTTGCTCTTGGGGATGGGGCTCTTCTGTATGTCCCCACTGCTAGATCACTGTCAAAACATTCCATAAAATGGTGTGGAATGACAGTCCCACAGGAGAGATAATAAAAGGTGGTCTTAGTTGTAGAAACTGAAAGAGGAAGACAGATGTCAGCGGAAGGGGAAAGTGTGAACAATAATGACTAGCTGGATGGAGGGGGTAGATTGCAACAATGTGGAAGGAAGGAAGCTGGGCTGAATGCTGGGGGAAAACTCCATATAGAGGAAGGAGTGGCCCTGCCACAAAATTATGCTGGGGCTATTGTGCAGACTTTTCAAAGTTGCAAGCAAGTGTTTTGTCAATGCACTTGTCTTATCCCTATGTGAAATCTTAAGGGATAACCTACTCCTAAGTTTTTATTGGAAAGGCCCCCTAGGACAATGGTTTTTTTTTCTGGGAAAGCCCAGTACTGAAGAACCAGGAAAATAAGTTTGTCTTAATCAGCAGTATAGAGAGAGGATTGAGGTAGTGTTGGGCTGCTGAGAAGAGTCCAGTTTCTGGATAAGATTGGCACTAGATAAACTTCATAATTCACCCTCTTTATTTTCCCAGGAAATGCTCTCTTTTCTCTGCCAGATATTTCTGCTTGCATGTTTTTCTGCTGCAGTGACAAATAACTATACATTTAGCATCTTAAAACAACACTAAGTTTGTATTTGGTCATTTTTATATACATTACAGGTTCAGGTAAGCACTTGCTTATTTGAATCTCCTACAAATTAAGATGTTGTCAAGATACGCTTTTTTGTTTGTTTTCTTCTGGTACTAGGGCTTGGATTCAGGGCCTTTCACTCTCACTCAGCTTTTTCTTCTCATAGCTATGCTCTACCACTTGAACCATACCTCCATTTCTGGCTTTTTTGCTAGTTTTTTGGAGAGATTTGTCTTCCTGGATTGGCACTGAACTACAATCTTCAGATCTTAGCTTCCTGAGTAGTTAGGGTTATAGGTGTGAGCCACCAGCATCTAGCTATTGGCAAGATAGATTTCTTGTTGGAGGCCCTGGGATCACATTTGCTTTCAAGTCCATTTACCTTCCTGGCTAAATTCTGTTCTTTGCACTGAGGTATCCTCTTTCCTTCCTTCTTGGCTGCTTGCCAGGGGTCAATTTTTGTTCAGATTGTTCCTTCTCATTTTTCTGTGGCCCTTTCTAGCTGGTTCCTCTAAGTCATTTCTGACTTAGAGAAAATTTCTAAATTTTACAGATTATACCTGTCATGCCCAGTATAATCTCTTTAAAGTTTGTATCCTTAATTACATTGTAAAGTCCTTTTTGTTACAGTATGTAGCATATTCATAGGTTTCAGAGATTAGGGATTGTATCTCTGAAGGGGAAGGGGAAGGGACATAGTCCTACCACAACTTGGTTGCTTTCTGATGTGTTAGGGGTGTTTTCAATTCTGAAATTTGTTTCCTCTGTAGGGTTCACTTTCCTGTTCCCTTGATTGTGTTCCAGGGTTAAAGAATATTTGTTTTAGGTATTCCACACGTTAGTTGTGACTTTCAGTTCTTATGCTGTTGCTCAAAGTTGGCTGCTTAAAGAAGCACTTTGAACTCAAGTGATTTATAGTAGGTGAGAAATGAAAGCACAGAGCTGGAGTCATAGTTCAGTGACAAAACATGAATTCCTGAAGTCAGTAGTTAACACTGCTTTAAAAAAAAAATGAAGGGGGTGGGGTGGGGGGAGGATGGGATGGGAAGGGAAAACAAAGGAGGAGGCTACAATGCTTGATAAGAAATGTACTCATTATCTTGCCCATGCAATTGTAACCCCTCTGTACAGTATTTTCACCAAAAAAAAAAAAGAGCAAAAGCCAGGTGCTGGTGGTTCATGCCTGTAATCCTAGCTACTTAGGAGGCTGAGATCTGAGGATCATGGTTCAAAGCCAGCTTGGGCAGGAAAGTCCGTGAGACTCTTATCTCCAATAAATCACTAGAAAACTGGAAGTGGTGCTGTGGCTCAAATGGTAGAGCGCTCGCCTTGAGCTGAAGAGCTGAGGGATGGCGCCCAAGCCCAGAGTTTCAGCCCCACAACTGAAAAAAACAAAACAAAATCTGGGCAGTTTCAATAGCAGGGAAAGCCATGTGATCATCAATTTGCTTGTCTCCACTCAGCCTTTGAAGATCTACCATGAAAGAGCCTGGGAAACAAGGCTTAAGAGCATAGGTTGATCAAGTTTCTAGCTCCCACTGAGAAAAAGTGATTTTGTGTTGGAGTTGCTTAGAAGAGTTATAATAAACTATCCAGCCCATGTGAGGAGTCTCTGTAATCTTGTTTGTCCTCTATTGTGACTGCCTTTCTGGGCGTGTGCACGCGCGTGTATGTGTGTGCGTGCCAGCCAGTACTGGAGCTTGAATTCAGGGTCTTTTGCTCCCGCCTCCTTCCAACTCCTGCTTAAGGCTGGCATTCTACTACTTGAGTCATACTTCTAGTTCCCCTTTTGAACCTTTTAGAGTGCTACTTCGCTCACTGTTCTCTGTTAGTCCTTCCTCCCCCAGCAACACAGGTGAGGATGATGATATGTAACCCAAGGGGCTCATGCCACTACTCACCAATGACATAGCACTACCAAAAAAAACTCCAGCTGCTGAACTAGCCCCTCAGCCTGGCCTCATTTATCCTCTTACATTTCCCACCCTGTTCCACTCTCATGTCCTTCTACTTTTGTTTTTATAATATATATATGTAATTGTAATTATCATTGGCTAACTTTGTTCAGAACATTTCTCTTTTTTTTTTGGTGGTACTAGAGTTTGAACTCAGGGCTTTGTACCTGCTAGGCTGCGATTTCACCACTTGAACCACACCTCCAGCCTCCTTACACTTAAAAAACAATTTAAGCCAGGCACTGGTGGCTCATGCCTGTAATCCTAGCTGCTCAGGAGGCTGAGATGTGAGGATCACGGTTCAAAGCCAGCCCGGGCAGGAAAAGTCGTGATACTCTTATCTCCAATAAACCACTCAGAAAACCGGAAGTGGTGCTATGGCTCAAGTGGTAGAGAGCTAGATTTGATCTGAAGAGCTGAGGGACAGCACCCAGGCCAAGAGTTCAAGCCCCAGGACCAACAAAAAAAAAATATTAAATTTCTTATTGTGGTGGTACCAGAAATTGAACTCAGGGCCTCTCATTCTTGTTCACTGATGGATCTCTGCCACTTGAGCCATACCTCCAATCCAGACTTTCCTGCTGAGACTGGCTTTGAACTTCAATCCTCCAGATTTTAGCCATCTGAGTAGCTAGAATTACAAGTATGAACATAGCTTTCCTTCCACTTCCTTTTTTTGTCGGTCCTGGGACATGAACTATGGGCCTGGACCCTATCCCTGAGCTCTTCATCTCAAGGAAAGCACTCTACTATTTGAGTCACAGTGCCACTTCTGTTTTTCTGGTGGTTAATTGAAGATAAGAGTCTCACAGACTTTCCTGCCCGGGTTGGCTTTGAACCTCCATCCTCAAATTTCTGCCTCCTGAGTAGCCAGGATGACAGGCATGAGCCACCAGCACCTGGCTCCTTCCACTTCTTTTTTTTTTGGGGGGGGGGGTCTGGTTGTGGGGCCTGAACTCTGGGCCTGGGCGCTGTCCCTCAGCTCTTCAGCTCAAGGCTAGCGCTCTACCACTTGAGCTACAGCGCCACTTCCAGCTTTTTTCTTTTTGCTTATGTGGTGCTGAGGAATCGAACCCAGGGCCTCATGCATGCAAGGCAAGCGCTCTACCACTGAGCCACCTTCCCAGCCCCTCCTTCCACTTCTTAAAGATGCCAACCTCTTTCTTTGGTCCCTCTGTCTA